GTGAAAGCCGATCCGGCGATCCACAGCGTGACGTTGATGTATTTCCTCAGCGACCAGCACGGATCAGCTCCAGGCATGACGAAGCGGATATCATCCTGTTAAATAACGCCATAGCGGCGGCAACAACAATACTACAGTGAGAATAAAAGTTACGCCTTCTTTCTTTGCGTGAACATTTGGGCAGCGTTATGCAAATCTTCCCACATCGTGACGTAAACATGTGGGGGCGTGTTAGAACGAGCCGTTTTAGGTAGGCATGGTTGACTCTTAACTTTTATAAAGAATATCTCTTTGGATTTGAGACTTTAGTCTTTGCAACTTTACAGATCTTCTTTATGCACCAAGAGCTTGTAACACTCCAAAGAGAAAGGAACATTTTAAATCGCATCATATGACCCCTTGTGTGTTACATTTTACTACTGTATATATACACTGATATTATGTTTATTATTGATTGCAGTATCTCTGCAGCCATGCTAATAAAATACAACTACCACTACAACTGATTTTAATTGTTAATCGTAGCATTCTATGCTCCAGACCTATGTAATAACGCTCTCTTCCATTGTCTGATACAACTGGATGTGTCAAGAAGCTCTTAGCTGATTGCTTCTTGCACGAGAATTTTCCTTGAGTTTAAATTTTTGAACTTGCAGCGGAAGACGCGATTGAGGCGAATATCGTGCGTTCGCGGCAAACGCGTCGCGCATTTCGCGTGATTCGCGTCGCCCGGCGCGAATTCGCCTCTATTCACGTCTAATTGCGTTGACTTTGTATGTAATCTACTCGCGGGAATAATTACGTTCGCGTCTGGTGTGAACACACTATGACTGCAAAATATACAAATAAGAATAGTCCAGGGTCTAGGACTGTACATTGTGAAGCATCATCTTATGAATACTCAGGATTTATGGTTAACTGCTGGTAAAGTATGAGCAGTGAGAAATGTGAAACAAGATAACCCAGTATTCTGTTTACCTTGGGTTTAGAATGGTGTTTTTCCATGTTGTCAGCAAACAGAACAGACCGGTTAAGACCGTGCTTTATTGTACATAATCAGATAAAGATTTGTTGGAGCAAAAACTGAATTTGCAGGATTACTAGGATTTATCTGCATTTTGACTTTTAAGAAAAACTTGTTGTTCTAGGACTTTGAAAATGTACAATAAGTGCTTTGGAGATAGAGGTCTTATGAAGCAATAAAAATTGATTATAGTTGGGGACTCTTAATATTCAGCAATATTATGGAATTGACTATACAAACACTATTGGATTAGAGCTGAACTGAGCTGGATGATGACAACATGTCTACAGGGCTGCTTTAAAGCTGAATTGAACTAATTTCATGATTGATGATCTTTATGCAGCATTGAACTGAATCAACACTGAGCTGACCTCAACTGAATAATGACACTGTTATTTTTTTTTAGAGCTGCTTTACAGCAGAATTGATCTCAGTTTGCATCTTTGAATTTTTTCTCCCATTTTTCCCTGTAAAGCTGCTTTGAAACAATCTGTATTGTATAAAATATAATATACTGTAAATAAAGTTGACTTGACTTGACTTTACTATAGTGTATAACAGCTGTGTGTTTTTATTTTATTTTATTTTTTATGCTCATAGACCTCTTGGGATTCCACCACCTCAACTGCTACTCTGGCTGACAGTCAGCCGATCACTGACTGACTATAACAGTGACGTGGCACCCACAATAGCATTTGTATATCTGATATTGTGATATTTTATGTGTTTATAGGTTGTTTGTAAATTGTCACCATTGGCCATGTTTTGTTTTCAAAAGTGTTAGTCAAATGACTTGACAGGATTTGCTTTATCAGAGCCCAACCACTCTCGACTGAGGTGTTGTGTGACACAATACCAATCATATGCCTCACTGAAATTATTCTTACACAACACCAAACCAAATGTCAGTTTCTCTCAAAAAGCATTTGGAGTCATTCAAGCCGGAAAAAAAGCATATACATGACTCAAAATATTTGGCAGGAATATGTTCAATGAGCGGTCACTGTAAACATTTGCTCATTTTAGGGATATAAGTGAGTTTTGGAACTGGCAGGATGCCACAGTGAATGCATCCAGTAATGAGAGCAATTTGGAAGCCATTCCTCATGTACACCCCTCTTCAACGTTTGAATTCCCACCCTGAGGCAACAGAGATAAGGAATTTGTTTTTATTCTTTATGCTCTCTCTCTGTCTCTCTCTCTCTCTCTCTCTCTCTCTCTCTCTCTCTCTCTCTCTCTCTCTCTCTCTCTCTCTCTCTCTCTCTCTCTCTCTCTCTCTCTCTCTCTCTCTCTCTCTCTCTCTCTCTCTCTCTCTCTCTCTCTCTCTCTCTCTCTCTCTCTCTCTCTCTCTCTCTCTCTCTCTCTCTCTCTCTCTGGCCATGTTTTGTTTTCAAAAGTGTTAGTCAAATGACTTGACAGGATTTGCTTTATCAGAGCCCAACCACTCTCGACTGAGGTGTTGTGTGACACAATACCAATCATATGCCTCACTGAAATTATTCTTACACAACACCAAACAAAATGTCAGTTTCTCTCAAAAAGCATTTGGAGTCATTCAAGCCGGAAAAAAGCATATACATGACTCAAAATATTTGGCAGGAATATGTTCAATGAGCGGTCACTGTAAACATTTGCTCATTTTAGGGATATAAGTGAGTTTTGGAACTGGCAGGATGCCACAGTGAATGCATCCAGTAATGAGAGCAATTTGGAAGCCATTCCTCATGTACACCCCTCTTCAACGTTTGAATTCCCACCCTGAGGCAACAGAGATAAGGAATTTGTTTTTATTCTTTATGCTCTCTCTCTGTCTCTCTCTCTCTCTCTCTCTCTCTCTCTCTCTCTCTCATACCATGAAGAAGGTATGAAAAAACATCCGTGAATCTTTGCAAACTAAATTAATTTAGCACACACTGTTTATATATCTGTGCTCATGCATGTGTAAAAATAAGCACATAATGTGTGGATTTTTGATAAATGCATATGCACACAGCTGTGCCAACACTCCATCATTCATTGATTGTTGAGGGATGGAAGGATATACACAGGTAGACATCTCATAATCTCTTATTCACTGATGTCATAATTTCATTTAAGTTTTATCCCACCAACTATAAATGTTTAAAAGACAACACAGGTAGCATCCTTTTCACAAAAAAATCTTGTTGCTTGAACTGCACTGAAAGTTTGCACAAAGGAAGGTTTACTCACAGTGCCCTTTACTGTGCACAGTACCTGAAATACCTGTATTTTTTTTTAACCAAATCTTTATTTTAAAACCAGTGAACACTGCACAAAATAAGGTATCCCACAATGCAGTGCACTTGTCTTGACCTCCCATCTATATCTACCTATCTATCTATCTATCTATCTACACTCAAAAAAATGTTTCGGCCTAAATTTACATTTTATGTATTTCAATTGCATACAAATTTTCCATCCATTTAGATGACATAGTTTTAACATAAACAAATTAATAAGCACAATGTGATTCATATGTGTCAGTCATACGTGAATGAAACGGGTAAGATTTATGTAATAGTCCCCAGTGTTAAATAAACACTGCTCAGTGTTCATGTGTTTCCACACTGTTAAAGGCGTCATAGGATGCTACATGCACTTTTACAAGTTGTTTCAACTGAAATGTGTGTTGGCAGTGTGTGTACACAACCATCCTATAATGATAAAAATCCACAGAATGTTTTTTTTTTTTAATCTTCTAAAATCTTTACCCCTTTCTCAAATCGAGCCGATCTCAGATGCCTGTCTGTGTGACATCACAAAAACAGGCCCCTGCCTAAAGTGATAAAAATCCACCCGGTGTTTTTTTGTTAATCTACTAAAATATTTCCCCCTTTCTCAAACCGAGCCGATCTCAGATGCCTGAGGTCACACAGACAGGCCCCTGCCACGATAGTTTGATTGACAGTGGCGTTTCAGCACAGACTGGACTGGCGTCTTACCTTAGACCTGCCCTGAGTGAGCTGTCATCAGTCCGCCATTGTTTCACCACCGGAGCAGATGTAGATAAGAATGTCTCCTAAGCGATTGAGGTGTTCTGTTGTTGGATGTAATAATGAACATAGCAGTCGTCATTTACTCCCGACATCTGAGCCGCTGAAGACGCAGTGGATTATGTTTGTTTTTGAAGGGAATGTACCCCCGATCTACCTAAATGTGTCTATGTTCGCGCAAATCATTCGTGATCCAGCTTCACCTACAGAAGAAGTGAGTATAAGATTTTTTAATGAATTATTGCAAATCGCCTTTCCTAATAATGTGCTAATTAGCAAGTTTCACGATGAATGCGCCTAAAGTAAACAGTCCCTCAGAGAGCGGCTCGGAAGAGAGTCAGCAGAGCTCATTAACATTTAAAGGAAAATGCAACAAAATGGCTTGCTCTGAAAAGAGCTGTTTTTGACAGGTAAAAAATATGTTTTTTTACACTACCATTGAGACATTTTAACAAAACTATGTTAACTTTTCAGTAAGACCATAAATAATCATATCAACTTGTGGAAAATGGGCATCTGATGACCCCTTTAAAGTAGCATTGAAGCAGTGTTGGAGTTAAGAAGATAATTATGTGATGATTGACCATTAATTATGAACAGCTGCTGTTAACAAGCAGAATCACCGAAGGAAAGAGAAACACAAAAACTACAACTGACTTCAGCCACAGCCGAACATTAAATCAACTGATATAAAATACATTAAATCTCTCAAGATCTCAGCAGAGGAGGATTAAACAACTCCACAAACAGCATTCCCAGCTTCACTCATTACTAACCAGACTGACTTTATTTCTGTCAGACGTCTACAGAAGCTCTTATTGAGAATTAACATTGTAACGTAGTTAATTAACATGTTGTTAATTAATATTACTCCGTTAAATGTATAATTACACTGTAACAAGGACACCTTCAAATAAAGTGTAACCGATTTTTGTAATAGTACTAATGCATTGAATAAGTTTTAAATACACAACAACTAAGTTGAATGTATCATCAATCAATCCAATTGGTTTCTCGTACATTTTAACTAACTGAATATTGTTTTTTTCCACAGCTTTTACCATTTTAACCATTTTAACTGATTAAATAAATTATATATATATATATATATATATATATACATTTATTATGTTTTAACTTAATAAATTTTATTGTTTTAAAAATCTTAATTGTTTCAAATGAATAAAATACATAAATCTCAAATTAGGCCTAAATGTTTTCTGAATGCACTCTCCCCATGTGAATGTTATGAATGTAATTTCTAATAAAGTATGTTCTGTCTCTCTCTCTCTCTCTTTTCACAAACCATAGGGAGGTTTTGTGGCTATGTGTTATGTATTTTTTTCTTCCTGGGCGATAATTAAGTTCAGAGTGCTGTATTCCCCAAACTACATACAATGTGGTAATTAACCCTGGGAATTAGATTGTACTTTCATGGAGAGGGTGGCCATGCATTGGAAATATGAGCAGTTCATACAGCACGATTATTGATTATTTCTATTAACTCCACATCCACAGCTTCTCACCATGTACGAGTGTATGTTTGCAGCCAGTGAAATCTGATAAACTTAGATCTTAGATAAACTAATAATATGATGTACTGTATAATAATCACGCACACAAATATTGGGTAAATCTTGGATGATTTTCATTAAGCTGCTCTGTTCAGTGTACTTATTTATTTATTTATTCAGGTGTTTTGTCTATTTATCTTTAATTTATTTTTATTTCAGTTTACATGAACTACATATTTTAGTACTTATTTTATTTCAGATAGTTTTTATTAAAAAATATTTCTAATTTTTAGTTTAAGTTTATGTTTTCCATATAACAGTTATATTTTATTTAATATATATTTCAGTTAACGAAAATAATCTTTAATAGATTTAGGCCCCGTCCACACGGAGACACGCGTGTTTAGCTGTATACGTAAAAATGTTGTATCATATCGGCGTTTCGTCCAGATGGACCCGGCGTTTTGGTGGCCTGAAACCGCTATTTTTTGAAACCGGGTCCCAGAGTGGATAAATCTGAAAACGACACCCTTTCGTGTGTACAGCCAATCCGTATATTTTGTGAAACGATGATGTCATTACCCCACATCTCGACCCTAGTCACCGCTACATCACATAAAAGCAACGACAACAATGGCGGACTTCATGCTTGTATTCATGCTGCAGAAGCTACTGAGCCTATTAGCTTTAGTGACATGTGACGTGACATGTGGCCAAGTATGGTGACCCATACTTGGAATTAGTGCTCTGCATTTAACCCCTCCCCCCACCTACAATTCCTGCGAATCGAGTACGAGACTCGAACCCGCAACCTTTGGGTTACGAGTCCAACTCTCTAACCATTAGGCCACGACTTACTAAAGCAATATCAAAAATTACTAAACCAAACATGTTTGTATACAGCGCACAAGGTTTACGCGCATGCTCCAAGTCTTCTTCTCTGTTTTTAGTGTATCTCTGTGGCAGAATTACAGCGACACATAGTGGGCTGGCATGCATACTACATCGTTTTGAGTCGGTTTCAGTGGTTTCGTGTGTACACAGATATTTCTTTAGACAACGCCTTGTTTACGGAATTTTTTTTTAGAACGAAGGAAAAAAAAGATTGGATAGGGAAAGCTCTGGCTTTGTGTGGAAGTGGCCTTGGTTTTAGTTAGCGATAAACACTGATTTGTAATCAACATCTCTTTTGTTTCATCCACCATTCTTTAATTGCCTTATTTATGGAGGTTAGTGATACTGTCACCAGCCACGCCAGATCCTGCAATTCCTTCCCGGAATTCTGATTCACCACACCTGCCTACACTCATCAAGCCACCCTTCAAAAGTCATCACAGTACACTCCACCATCATCTGGTCTTGTTGTTGTCTATATGCAACTTACCTGGCTACTTATATGCTCTACTGCTTCAGTCTGTCAGTCCTCATCTTCCCGTTGTAGCTTTACCACTGTAGACTCTCATCACCATGCAAATAACCACCTGTTTGTCAGTTAAGTCAGCCCTGCTCATCTGTTTGACCCATTTTATCAGTAAATACCTTATGTGTGGAAGTTCTGTGTTAACTCCTTCTGTTTTGCTGACAGATACTGTTTTAAAAGAACTGCCAAAAGAAAATATATTTAGAAAGTAGCAAATTTTTAGTGCCTTTTGATACCACTCTAAAATGCTGTGTGTGTAGGCCATAGACTAGGAACAGAGCCTATAAGTATTCAAAGAAACCCAGTGGTTGCGATGTAATGTGGTTGTGCCAGTGGGTAACTGTTCCTGAATCATTTCAGCAGTGCCTATGCTAGTCTCCTTGAGCGTACAGCTGACCTAATGTGCTTTAGAGGACATGCATGCCACTCTAGAGGGAACTGTGCCACCGTGAAACACTTCCTACTTTAATTAGAACAGGCAGCCATAACTTGGGTGTGTGGGAATCTGGATTAAAAAAATAATTTTCAATGTTTAAAGGACAGCGATTATTGCCACTCTTGAAAATTACGGCAAGAATGAACACTGCTCATTTATAAAAAAAAGACATCTTTGCAGCTTCAGAACCATGGAACAGACTCAGTGGAGCCAAATCAGTTTTTAAATGCAATTTTATCAAAACCATCTTTAATAGTTAAATTATCGTAAGTTGTTTGTCTAAAATTCTGTGGTAGAAATCACCCATTCCCATGTTTAAATAAACTGTTTGCTGTCATAATTGTTTGGTTGGTGTGAATTCTGTTTGCTTGTGTGGCTCACCAGACATCTCATCTTCAGCTTGTCATAAAGACAGAGCCAAGGTGCTATAATGAAAGACAACAGATAGAGGATAAAGACGTCATCCTTTTATCAGTACCTCTACATGCCTTCTCCAATCACTCTGCTCTCTTGTTCATTCTATACCTCCACCTCAGTCTGTCCATCACATACACTCCCAGAAGAGCTCAAATTAGCGCTGACCTTCAAATGACAACTGGTAGAAGAAATCCTCGTCCCTGTTAGTGACTGCATCTTTCTTCACAAATCCCTTTGTGTCAATTACCCAGCAGTACTGAAAAGTCTTGCTCAGAAATGGGCAGGTGAGCTTCGAGAATAATAATTAGTAAACATCACTCTGGCTCCTTCCATTTCAAGGAGTTTTATTGAGTGGTTTCGAGTTCAAGTGCAATCTTATGCAGTTTGTGTAGAATGGGGATTCAGGAGTTTAACATATGTCCGGTTATTTTCTGCTTAATGTCCATGTATCACATATCTCAGAGCATTTAAGGGACAGGAACAGTAAAAATATGTTCAGTAAAAAGTACACTTAAAATTGAAGTTTAGCAGCAGGCTGTAACAGTAAATATTTAAACCCATTGTTTTTTGCTTCAGGAACCAGATTTTACCGGAGTACCAAGATTGATTATCACACAACAATAAGATTATAATCAAATATATTCAAATTTATAATTACTGCATAGGCATATGAAAAAAATATTTTGTTACATTTATATAGCACTTTTCTGGGAAGAAGTCAAGTCACCTTTATTTATATAGTGCTTTTATATTGAGCTTTACAGTATCAAATAGGAAAATAGTGTGTCGATGCAAAAGGACAATAGTAAACACTCAATGTCTCTAGGTGCTGATCCACCATCTGGGCTGGATACGTACTGGATCCGGGTGACTGAAGTGACCATCTGATCTGGATACAGACTGGATCTGGTGGCTACGGTGACCAATAAGAAAGAAACAGACTAATTTTAGCGTAGATGCCGTTCTTCTTACGATGTAACAAGCACATTGTGTGTTATTGGAAGTGTTCCCAGTTCCGGCTTACCTAATTAATGCAGCCTAACAATACTTTAGCGGATTTCAGTAATAGAAATGTGTAATTGTGTTATGTGTAAACCAGGTTAAAGAGATGGGTCTTTAATCTAGATTTAAACTGACAGAGTGTGTCTGCCTCCTGAACAGTGTTAGGTAGATTATTCTAGAGTTTGGGCACTAAATAGGAAAAGGATCTGCCACCCGCAGTTGATTTTGATATTCTAGGCATTATCAAATTGCCAGAGTTTTGAGAGCGGAGCGGACGTGGAGGACTATAATACGATAAGAGCTTGCTCAAGTACTGAGGTGCTAAACCATTCAGGGCTTTATAAGTAATTAGCAGGATTTTAAAATCTATACAATATTTAATAAGGAGCCAGTGCAGTTTTGACAGAACCGGGCTAATATGGTCATACTTCCTGGTTGTAGTAAGAACTCTAGCTGCTGCATTTTCGACCAGCTGGAGTTTATTAAGCATGCAGAACAACCACCCAATAAAGCATTACAATAATCTAACCTTGAGGTTATAATCGCATGAATGAAAGTTTCTGCATTTGACATTGAGAGCAACGTGGCTTTCGAAGGAAAGATTGCTATCAAATAGCACACCTAGGTTCCTAACTGATGACGAAGAATTGACAGAGCAGCCATCAAGTGTTAGAGAGTGTTCTAGGTTATTACATGCGGAGGTTTTAGGTCTGATAATTAACACCTGTTTTTTTCAGAATTTAGCAGTTGCTTTCCCTTCTGATACCAGGCCTGAAAACAAGTGACAAGGTGAGAAGTTGAAGTACACCCTAGAGGTTGAACGACTTCTGATTTTTTGAAGTCGACTTTTATGTGATGAAAGTCGAGTCGAATTTCTCACAGATTTCTGCTCGTTCTAAATCAGATACAGAAAGTAGCACAGTAAAGATTACATTAATATGAATGCATTAGTGAGAAGGCGATTGCGTGTGTAAATTAATTATACCTGGCACTACTCGTACTAGTAGTGAAGCTGTGGAATTTAGTTAAGAAATATATGCTTGAACTTTTCAGTCTCTAAGCTATTTTATTGAGAAATCACAGAACAGTGTTGACAATACATTTCCGCGCTGAATGATTCTGTGCGTGTGATGTACGCGCTACTTACTGTCTGTAGCTTGTGTGTGCGCGTTACAGTGCAGCAGCGCATTAGATTAGAATGGCGATTAACTTACCTGTACAATAAGCTGTTTAAAACGTGCATTCTCCCATTCAATTTCAAACATCCAGTAGTATAATCACACATGTCTTGTGGAGCGCTTTCAGAGTATGCATTTATTTGTCATTTGAACTGTTTGGAAATGGAGCGTAAATGTGGAAGTCCTTCAAAGATTTCTTATCCTGTTGCGCCCTCTATAGGACCAGCGACTAGTCAACGTCAAGCTTAAAGCGTCATGGCAGAGCATTGAAGTCGACGCAACCCCTAGTACACACAAACAAAAGAAAAGAAAAGAAAAAAATACTTTTAGGTTACCTGAATCAGACAGTGCTTGTCCCTTTCTACTGAGACCACACGTAGAGTCACAGCACATGCACACCTGGTCATTGTCATCTACTGAAGTCAAGTCAAGTCAAGTCACCTTTATTTATATAGCGCTTTTAACAATACAGATTGTGTCAAAGCAACTGAACAGCATTAATTAGGAAAATAGTGTGTCAATAATGCAAAATTACAATAGTAAACACTCATTTTTCAGTTAAAGACAGTTCATCATTGAATTCAGTGATGTCATCATCCAGCTCAGTTCATGTAAGCGAGATTAGCGGCAACCACGCTGGCGATGCTAGCAGGCTATATGCTAATAGCGGACTCGGGAAGTCAAAAATAGAACTAGTGATAACAAGGCACTCTGATTGTTTTTGTTGTAGAATACGATGGGGATATATTCACACATTATAGAAACGAAAATCATGGTGTATAAAATTGATTTTAAGATAAAAAAATTAGACGACAAATAATTAACTTGACGGAGCTCAAACTCAAAACACACGGCAGCAACAAAACTCCATCTATAGAAGGCAAACAAAACTGGTTACCCATTTTTAACACATCATGATACTAGACAAATGAAAATAGGGCAAAATAAAACAAATACCCATTTATGAAGGAGCAAGCCTTGTTCTTTGGACATGTGGGGATTGAGGCCATGACAGCCTTTAGAGCACAGGTGATGTACACCTACAGAACACCACATGATCAGTAAAACAACTCACAGAACTCACCCACAGAACTACAGCCCAAATTACAATACCAAGCCACGATCATCTTGCTGGAATCTGAAAGCCTCTAACTGAAACTGCAGCTTGTCACTCTGAATACGATGCATGAAACTGGAAGTGGAGCCTGTAAGCTTTGCGTCTACCAGGCACCTGAAGAGAATGCGTGGAGAGGCAAGGAAAAAAAAAAAAA